CGTGTGCAGTAAAGGGAGAGAAGAGGAGAGGCGTCGCCTCTCAAGAACGCGGGGGAAACGTGTTCTTACTTCCATCGTGGTCTGCTTTTTCAAACGAGCGATACTTCGCCGAAGAATTCAATGAAGAATTACCGCATAATTTTCAATTCCGAGGGGAGAGCGCTCTCTTCCCTATTTGGCCGCGCATTTTTCTCGACTTTCATCATCTCGTCTCTTACATCAAAAGATCTCGACCGTCGTAAGTTACAGTCCGTCCGTCGTCCGGAACGCGGCGCGCGTACTTGAAGAGGCGGTAACGACACGAAGAAACCGGCAGGACTCTTGCCAGTGGCAGTTTTGCTCGAGGGAGGGTTCAGTGAATCGAAGCAGCGCGTGGACGTGAAAAAATTTTACTAATGTACCTGAACGAAACCTTCTCTCGATCAAAAAAAAAAAAAAAAACATGGCGTACTGGACGTAAATTAGAAACAAAGTGAAATAACGCAAACATGTAAGCGTCACATTTGTAAGTGGAACGGCAATGCTGTCTCATGTCGCGGAAATGCGACTTTTATTTTCAAACTAATCGCATGAAAAATGGAACTAGGCCGTAGTTTTACTTACTGTTTATCGATACTTAACTATCGCGACTTTCTAATTTAACATCGAGTCGATTGTTTTTGTTGCAGCGAAAATATTAAATACGTTAAAACCCCCCAATTAAAGTTTTGACATTGTAAATTGAAACAATCACGAAATGAGTTTCTCGTTAGAGGGATTCGTAAGAAGACGTTCGTCTTATCTCGATATCCCTTTTCGCGGCAGTACTGTCGCTTTAACAAAAGTTCCAACGGACGGCATCGTACCATTGGCCTTGTTCCCGTCTGGACGCTTTGGACGAGCCAAACTGATTAAAGTCCCTAATTAACCGTTTAACAAGATATATTTAACTCGTGGTGTTCACGCTTGTAAACGCGGAAGAAAGAAAGAGGGAGAGAGAGAGAGAGGAGATCTCAAATCGGAGAAATGCCGCCACACATTTTTGGCACGAAAATAAATACGCTCTGCTAAATAGTCGCTCTGTCTTTTTTTACACTTTTGCGATCTTTTATCAGTCGTGGGCAGAAATATAAAACTGGCGTTTTTTCTCGCACGGAAATAATAAGATGCACACTGCTCGCTTCTTTATTTCAACGTTCCCGCACGTCAAGTGTGTGTAGGTATATCGTAACTCTTTTATCTTTTACGTTCGCAGAAACAATGATAGGGAGGTTATTTATCTGCACCAGTTCTTTCTAATTTGCTTATCGTAAGGGCAGTCGGCTTCTCTTTATCGCAACGTCGAGATACGCAATTTCTTATCTACTAGCGTGATAAAGATGCATTGTGCGCCAGGTAAGATACACCTATAAGATACACGTCAAGTGAAACCGTTAGCTCTGTAAATATGCGACAAAAATTGCATGTTGTTTGTACACGTCTCAAACTTGAAGAGAGCCAACATCACTTTACAGTGTAAATATTTATGTCATTTTTTGATCAAGTTTATATTATTTATAAAAACAACATTGTTTTCGAGAAAGTTTCATATATAAAGTCTTATATAGATTGTAAACAGACATATTTCGATATGTTTTTCGCTTAAGGTCAGTTTTTGCTGTGCGCACAATTGCAAATGTAATGTGTTGCAAAAATTGGTGAGCTTGGGAGCGCGACGGACATTCAGCGAGTTGAATCGAGAGTGAGTCGAGAAAGCGCAATTCATAAAAGCATTAAAGTTTGCGTAACTAAAATGGTCGTTCAGCCGAGCGAAACAAGTATATAATCTATTGGATAGACGCACAAGTTTAAGAATTTAGTAATTTTGTAATGCGGTTAGACGAGAGAACAACAGTGTCGAGATAACGCGACAAAAAAAAACGCGTAAGAGAGTGTGTTTTTATGACGAGAAATTGAGATTTACACAGAAAGATAGAAGACTTTCTAACAATGAGAAATGTTTGAGAATAAAAATCAACGACACATATACGTGTTGTACATATTTACTTCTTGTAAGTCACTTTCAAGCACCTCAAACACCTGTTAACTCGCTGTTTGTTTCTCTCGCCGCCGGTGTGTTTAACCGAAAATTAACAGAGCACTTGAGAAGAGTTTTATTCTTAGAAAAGTTTTATTCTTTAAGAAATCTGATTATTCTGTTAAATAATAAAGTGACTCTTAGGCGCCAATTAAACTCTTAGACGTCAATTAAAAAAAAAACAAACAAACAAACAAACAAACGTATGTACCTCTTTCCTCGATGACACCGCTCGTGGTTAGATCGGCGCACAACAGGACAAAGAGGAAAATGTAAATTCCAAGGAACTTGGCCGTCTCCATTCTGCGAGGAATCCCCAAGACACTTTCACAAGAAACGACCCATATCCACTTTTCACCACCACTTGTCACCGCGCGTGAATTATCGCACTTCTCAATATCTCGCGTCTTGTCGACGACAACGCACCCGTTTTGATTTCACATTTAACGCGACGCGACGCGACGACAACTTCGCACTGGAGAACTTCGCGCGAGAGAGATCGACTTCGATTTTTCGAATCAGTTCACACTCGGGACATCGCGACTCGAAAGATTTACTTCGTAGATTTTGTTGTGTCTTGTTTTTCTGTCGGAATTGTTCTCTTCTCTTTCGATTTCGATTCTTTTGAGTTGAGTTTTGTGTTTCTCGGCGCACGTGACGACTCTCAAACGATTTGTTATGAAAGTCGGCTCAGTCTTTTCGTTCGAACGTTGACAGTCGTTTCGGAGCACTTTGCTTCAAAAGATCGAACACCCGCGTCACTTTAACTGAACGAGCGCGAAATAAGAAAACAAAACCGTGTACACGATGTTAATTTTAAACTAACACCGAAGTTTTACGCGGAGAGATGGTTTTTTGTCGACTACCCTCGACTACTCCACGGTAGGTAGGTATTACGCGCACGTCTCACTCCCACGTCGGACGCGTTAAGAATACGCGCGCCCGCAGACTCGCGCGCCACTAGACGGCGCAGCGCTTCCGAAGATTTACGGAGGCGATCGAAGATTGCCGAGCGGTCCGGGCTTGCGGGCGAGGGCGACACTGGAGAGCCTCGAATCGGAATTTTTGCAAACTGTCGCAATGACGTTTCGTGTTTAACGAGCGAAATTTCTGTGAAATTTCGGTTATCTTGACTAAAATAGGGAAGATAATTTTGATCGGAAGAAACGGAGTGAAGTTTCGTGGCTGTGGTAAGTAATGTAATTTAAGAATTCGACGGAGATTGAATTAGATTCGTGCGTGCGATAATTGTTCACCGATGTGATTGCTCTTTTTAGAATGCGCACACGTACGGACGCTAGAATTTGAATGTCAATCGCGCGCTCTGCATTGAAGGGAGGTGAGTTTTTCATTTTTGTAGATATTAATTTTATGAGATAAATAACGAACGATTGTGTTAACTATATCGTTAGTTTTTCGTTACTCACGCTCCTTGTTTACGTGATAATGCAACGCAATAAAACAATCTGCAACAAAAAATGTTACAACTGCACTACGTTTTGCCATATAAGGTGTAAAAATAATCATGTGAAAATGGCAGTGACTGAAAATGTACAATTAAAATCGTTTAAGATCTCGATAAAAAGAATTAAATAGAAAATAAAAGATATATTTACTTTTCTGTCGGTGAAGGGAGCAAAGCGTGTTTACAAAGACGGGTTTGTTGATTCCACGAATACGTTAGTCGATGCGTCGTTGTAAAAATTGACTTGAAGACTGGTTTCGTGTCGCCAATGCACGCACATGCGTACACGTGTGATACATACGTGTAATCGCGTACCTGACAAGAAAACCGTGAAAAAGAAACGGCGATACGAACGATACAATAGTCGCGGCGCGTTTTCTGCGAAAACTTCTCGTTCAGACATATCTTTTTTATTTAATCCGGTAATTAAGTGTGTTATTATATAAGTTATCTATTTTAAAAGTCTATATATATCATATAACATATTATTTATTTATTTATGTATTTATAATTCAGATAAATTCTATTTTAATATCTATTTTTATTTAAAATGTCAAATATATAAAGAAATCGTTACAAACATGCGTATAATAGAACTTATAATTCCGTAAATTGTTTTCCATTGGAAACGTTCTCCGTCATAATCTATTACGGTCTGTCGAATCAAACGAGAAGATTTATTGCGCTGCATTATCGGCAGCACAATTGAAACCCAAGTCGCAAGTGTTTCCAATAAATCTAAACGAGAAACTTTTTGCACCAAAATGTAATCAACTAGAATGAATAACGTTTTGCACGTGCGTTATAATCGTCTCTTCCGGCATTTACTCAGATAAAAGATGAACCAGCTTTGTTCCGATTCTGCGCATCATCGATTGAAAATCGAGACAAAGTTTCTCTCACATCGTGAATACATGTATGTGGGTAAATACAACGATAAAAATAGCATTTGATATCTTTGTTGTTACTATAATAGACGATTCACGTGTTATTTCAAGATTCTAATGACTTTATCGCGTCTTAGCGAGTTAAATTGGTTGTGATTGTTAGCAAACACGCCATATCACACGCGTCTAGACAATTAATAACATTCCGAGAGAGATTAATAAGTTTTACAGAAATCCGAAGATTAATGATGTTTATAGAAGTTTGAATTTTTTTATTGAATATTTATGTTATTAGTTTTTGTTTTTTCAAATTGTTATTTCCTTCGATTTTCATATAGAAAAATACAAACAAAATAAGAATACTTCAGGCGTATGAATATTTCACGGTATATTCTTTTTCTTATTAATTTAAAATATAAGACGGGTGAAAATAAAAGAAGGACGGGTGTTAAACAACTTTATTATTTTCTTTGTATCCGTTTATTATAAATAACAAGATGCATGTGTTCGGTGCGCACGTGTTATTTAACTTGTATAATATACTTTGTATATGTATATATATATATGTAGTCACAAGCTCCAGCTAAGTTTCTTTTTTTTTTTTTTTTATTTTGCTTACTGTACTATGTCTCTCGTTTATGCCGAGTGATCAATACACTTCGCTAAAATGTCTTGTTTCGCGATGCCGCGTGGAAAATTAGAAATTTTATTTTCGAGGACAAACTTTACGCGTCGTGCGGCAAAGGAAAATCGTGTTATCCTCGCGCGAGGTAGAAATGGATGCTGAAAATCGATTTTGCTCTCGATCGCGTGCCTGGATGATTTTTTTATATATATAATTGTTTTTTAAACCCTTCGAAACCAGCGGGGCATTTTCTTTCTTGAAGTGATACTCTCCGACGCGTCAATTAAAATGCAGATACAAATTCGATAAATCGGTTTTTTTTGTTTGAAAAATCGTTTAAAAATTTATTGTACTGATATGCGTCTCTCTCGCGAGTAACAATGGACGATTATATACGTGGATTAAAACCGATCAATCAGTCGACGAACAATTTGATATCGCGTGAACTTGGCCGATATGTCTAATTTAAAGTCAACATTTCCGTCGATGTGTGTAGAATGTGACAAATTCGTTGTTTGAGCGTTTTCAGATAATTCTGTCGAAAAATCGATTCGATAATGGATTCGCGTAATTTTGTGGTATCTGGAAACGAAGGGATTAACGGCGGAGCATCGGTAAAATCCTTAAAAGCTACGTTATCCGTGCGTCATAGCGTTCGCATTATAGCAATGGTTAACGCGTGCATTCGCTCAATTCTCGTCTCGTATCGAGTCCCACAATTCTACGACTACGCTCTCGACTCTCTATCACTGTCTCAATTTGCAATAATCTAAATAACGCAAGGTGTGTATATCTATTTTATATATATATATATCTTCTTATATAAACTCTCTCTCTCTCTCTCTCTCTTACACGAAATGGCTAAACCTTCTGTCCCTCGAGATGTCCGCTGTTTCGACTTCCTCCGTCGTTCTCGCGCATCTTTTTTTATCAATTGTGGTATTATCTGCCGCAAAATAAGAAAAAAAAATTTGTAACACATTGTTTTCGATATGCACATTATATACGCGAATGAATATCCTACATTTTTAAATTGACAAAATTCCGAATCTTTACGTACAGAAATGATGCGAATCGGATGTGGAAAGTATTAAGTTTTCATTATCATTTTGTCATCAACATTGTTGTTTTCTCCCTTGGACTTAAAATTCGATTCGCTGAATCGCTGAAGTTGGTTGTCGATTTTTGAAAAAAATATGTGAATATGCCGATCGTCATTAGAGGCGCGATGCTTCGAGAGAAGACGCGCGGAAAATGGGGAATTTCGGGGGACGCACTAGAATCATGTGTTTATAGAAAATTAAAGACGTTAAACTTTCGAAAGCTACATCGTATAGCAGGCACGTCTTTATCATATCACGCTAAAGGCTCGAATAAGCCCGGTAAAACCACCGCAGAAATACCGAACCCTTATATTGTATTTTCTCTCACTCTTCTTCGTGAACGATTAATTACATATTATCTTTCTTTTATTTTTATACCATCTTCTCACACATGCGCATGTTCGTTTTTTTTCCACAAACGGGCAGTCTCGTTTTGTTTTGGAATTAAGGAAGGCGCAGTATTTAAAACAGTATTTTTTAAGCGCAAATCAACGAACGAATTCTCGTATCGTTTGAAGAGACAGGAATAAGTTATCAAACATCCCCCTTTTAGAGACAAATATAGGATAATTAATTCTCGTGTTAGAAAACTGCCCTTTTTGGCAAAAAAATTGCTGTTAAGTCGCAGATCTTTCGTTTCAATCTTCGTTCGATTTATTCAGAGAACCTCCGATCTCTTGATATTATAGCAGTAATCACTAACTTTTTTCTTTGAGTGGGCGCGTTTATTCTTATCACTTTTATTTCTTCTTATCATTTAATCTTAATAACCACCGATTGTAAATAAATAGATTTGTGTAAAGTAGAGAAAAAATTGCAATTATATAAACAGCGCGAACACATGATGTTTATTCTCGAGACTGGTCGATTCATTGTAAACGGGGATGGACATGAGCGACAAAATTGGAAAACATAACGACATCAAACAGTTTTCTCTTTGATATCGCAAGGTGTTAATAGAAAAATTGTTTTATCACAATTTTCACGTCTCGTATGAACAAAACAGTATATTATTTTCCGCGAATTGACAATCTTCATTTGGCAATGCACGGAAAATAGAGATTTATTCTTACCAATAAAAACCATCTCCGCGGATCTCTTTGCGGATGTGCTTTTTAATATATCATTAATTTGTATTTTTGTTTTTACATTTATTGCGCGGCGAATGCAGAGACGAGATATTACACTCGTACTCGGGTAGACGTTATTTTAGCGGGAAGTTGTTTGTATGCAAGTTTTGTTTATACATAAATGGTTGTCTCTCTCTCTCAGTTGTTTGTTTATGTGAACACGAAAAGCGGAGGTGCGCTGTTCTTCTCTACGACGTGTTTGTCCCACACGCTTTCGATGCCTTTCGTATAACTGTGTTTTATATATTATTCATTCTCAGTATTTATAATTATGTTATAATGCATTGTTTTTCTGGTTGTTTAGGTAACGCTTATTAATGTTATTTATTTATGTGTGTGCACAGTTTCGGTAGAATCAGGAATAACTGTTCTCCTCTTTGCTGAGCGTTAATTAATATTATTGTATGAAATGTTACGTATTTGTGAAAAGTTGTAATCGCGCGTCTCCGTCGCAATAGTAACGTACTCACATATATGTATATGGATGTACAATCAGGGTGTACATCAGGGTTTATTAATTATTTTCAGTGCGTCCGCATTTGCAAATATATTTCACAACGCGTGACTCGCTTGGTTAGTATTGTTAAAAAAATTTGATCGTTTTAACGCAAGTGCACTAAAAATCATTTAATACATCCTGATGTCGTAACATCTCGAAATGTTAGAACTTTTTAAAAATGCGGGCAATAACACATTTGCAAACGGAATATTCGTTGGAATTGATAAAATACTTCTTTTTTACACTCGAATAAATGTGTAAAAGGCGATTCATTAAAACGATATCTTACGACAAAAGATTGTATGTGTAAAACAATCGCTTTGCACCGTTCATTAAAACCACTCGCAAAAAAACCCAAGCTAAAGTTTACAAACATTAACGTTAGTTTTTTAATCTTTAACGAACCGATACTGTCTTTAATAACATCGCACGCCGGGAATAAAACTGCGTTGATAAAACACATCTGATTAGTTCTTAAACTAGTAAATTCTCTCTTTTAAAAAGAAAGCTCTTAACTTATACTTATTTATAGAAATAAAACACAAACGCGTGTGTGATTCGAGCTGCGTATCGCGATTACAAAGTAAAACTGCGGTGCCGACAAAAGCTCCGAAAAAAGAAATCAGCGATTAGTGCCGCGAAGAATCGTTGCCCGACGAAACCCTCTATAAGTTAACCGACGTCTCCGAAATTATCTTTCGCTTTAATACGCCCAGTTAATCGCGTAACAAAAATCGATGATGTTGTGTGAGTGATGAGAGATTCGGCGATAAAACATTTTAACAAACGACTGCCTCCGATATCGGATTCTCCGTGATGTGTATGGTCGCGGTAGGCCAGTCGATCTTCTTGCTGCAGACGTGATTCAGTCCCTCCATCGAAGCCAGTCGGAAATCGGCCATTTTCAACGGCGACAGCGGGGCCACTGTAAACGAAAAAATAAAGGAAAAGTAATATCCTCAACCTGATGTTGATTTATCGTTAACCTCGCCTTGAGGAGGCTGTAACGCGCATATAAAAATTCCGTTCACTCGTTCAATCAAATCGTTGTTTTTATTACACAACAAAATACAAAAGGACAGGAACAAAAAGAAAGCGCACATGCAAAGTAAATAAATCAAGAAAAATCAAGTGTATTGTCGGTGGATTTGTTGTGTGCGCAATAGCGAGAGATTTGTGGGTTTGAAGAATGAGTATTTGCTATTCTATAATATATTGCCCAAAATGTGCGAAATTGTCTCTTGTTCTGTTTTTTCGATTTCGTAAAGAACAACACATCTGCACACAAAACGTTCTCTAAACATGAACATGTGCTGTTGTAGAGTCAGTCTTTCTTTTTTTATTGTTTGCGTAAAAAAATTACTTTATATTTTTGTATCACCTGTATATCAGTGTAGCGCAACAGGTCGGTGTTAATAAACAGATTGTACATCCCTACCGACTATCGAGAACTGTATGAAACATAGAAGATCAGTCGGTAAAACCGATTCATTATACAAATTTATTTCACCGGGCAATTTTTTTGAATTTTTTAATGCAAAAAATCAATTTTTTTAATTTTGTCATAATCGCTTCTTTGTCACAAAACTTATAAATATTTACGTAATAAAATAAGTACAGAAGAATATAAAAGTAAACAAAGATAAAGAAATAAAAAAAAAAGTTTATACACCGATATGCGTAAAAAAGTTTAACGAGACAAAAGACTGTCGTCATTCCTGTCATCAGCAGCAGACAAGATTAGTGCGATATTTGCAATATGTTATTAGAATAGTTAGTCGAAGTCAGTCTCTTTTTCGAGAGAATCTTCAAGGATTCAGAGGTTGTCCGGAGGACGTTTTTTTTCTCAGTTAGTAATTTCTCATACCTTCCGAAAAAAGTTTGAATTCCGACTTACTTAACATATAGACGTGGCCTATAATTGACCAACTGCGCGCTCGATTCTCCTTGCGGCCTTCAAATCCTAATTACAATTACCTTCGGGTGTTGTCGGCTTCACGGGCTTCCGAGAGGATCTCACCGCTAAAACGTAGAAAGAAAAAACGAATTCTATTTACAACTCTCAAAAATACAGTCGCAACGTGTTGGTGTGACGCACTGAATTCGCTACTTATACTAACATTGTTCAAAGCGTTTTTCGTGCGAAAAAACTGATAAACTAATTCCGTTTGGAATTCACACAAGTGGCACATAGCAAATCAACAGTGCGGCAATCGATGCCTTTGTAACATTGCTGCAAAGCTATGTTTGCTCTAATATACTTAAAAGTTGCTTTCAATTATCTACTGTCTTTCGACACGGATTCACACACCAGTATTAGAACACTGGATTGTGATTGTCAATTAACAAATGATAACGTAATTCAAATGTTTTTACTCGAACGAAATTTTAAATTCAAAACCAATGTTTGCTACAATCTGAATCGCGTTTCTAGACAATAGACACAACTCATAGAATGTCTATTAGTTATTATTTTTTTTTTTTTTTTTTTGCAACACATCCTTCTTCTATAAGCGTCTTGTTTTCAACATAGATTTTTACTCTTTAAATTGTCTAAAACAAAAAAAAGAATAAAGAAAAATAGCAAATAAGCTGAAACTAATATTTCTACGGTTCATCTGAAATTGTTGTAATATATACATACCACTCGATCGATCCAAGACGCGTGGGAAATAAAGGCGCAAGTCGATGAACATGTATAATACTCTTTCGTTTTCTTATTTTGCCTTATGTGATGTTTTTTTTTCTTTTTTTTTTTTTTATCTAACATAACTCAAAAAATCAATATGTGGTGGCAAGATTTAATATACGATCCTTTTTTTTTCACAAGTTACCTTTTTATTTATCAAGTCGAGCCAGTGGCTTTTCAACGGATAAAGGTACATGTTCGGAACACGTATTTGAACCTCGGTATAATCGAGTACCTTTACTACTCATTAGCACAGAGATAAAGCGGAGTTTACTCGTCGAAGTTTGCCGTAGTACATATTTTCAAGTAACATCTTCGTTATTAATAATTGTGTGTGTATGTGTGTGCAAGATATCACGCAGAGAACCAACCCTGTTACACCCGGGTTCAAATTACGTTCTAAGTATCGCGCCATTTTACAACATGGAAATTCTACTTATATAATATAGCGATGATTGCAACAACAACAGACGATAACGACGATAACGAGGATAAGAACAACAAAGATTCGTTCGATGTGCGATAACTTGAATGTCATTCGCAGTAAAAATTCGCTAATGTAATATTAAATTATTACTTGTGTAACTTTTGTACTGATCGGTATATATAAATGAAAGAGAACGGAAAGTAGACGAGCTGAAGAAAGAGATCACACGACGTGAAAGTAAAACTGCACAAATTTGCACACTTTGAAGATTCTTAAAACAACATACTTAATCGATATTTGTGAGAAAGCACAGTGTTTTGTGATCGGTTCTATAGTGTTGTTGTGAATAAAAAGCTGAACACAAAAGATAAAGAATCTGATTGAATTGAACGTGAAGCGTTAGTCTCGATCGTCAAATTGTACATGTACGTTGTGTTAATAGTTTTAAAAATTTTTATAAGAGCGACAGTTCTATTATCAGAAAGAGACGCTGTATAACGTAAAAATACGTGTGTGCAACACTGCTATGAGAAATCGAGATGTTGAAAGTGTAAAATATTAACGTTCATTATAACAGCAATCATTTTACAAATTCTCGATTTTGATGTATGCTTACTTAGAAAAAAAGAAACCCACATTACTTGTTAGACATTACTGATCTTAGTTATTACGCAAAATTAATAGTTTCTAATATTCTTAAAAATATAAGCACAATTTGTTTCATAAGCACTTAAATCTTGACGTTAAAATTAAAAGAAGAACCACTTTTTTCTAGCGAGTGATCAATAATCACGTTTGACGTACTATTTTTATAACAACATCTATCATTAAAAGACAGTATGTGTGGTCGGTCGAGAACACTCATGTATATTTAAGTATATAAAGTATTTTGCAGTGTGTAGGCCAGAATAGTTTTTTCAATTACTAGCAACAAAGTGCAACAGTCGTTAGAACGAACTTAACGCTATAGAAATGACCGCAAAGTCTCTCGCCTTTTCACTTCGACGTTGAGTCGTGCGAAAAATGACGTGACCGCTTGCAAAGACCGGGGGAAAATGTGTCTCGCGCATAATTCTTTTCACGCGTATAAATTATTATTTACAATCGCCTAGGTCCGCAGATCAGCCCCGCGATATTTTTCTGTTTCTCATTGCATTTCCGTCGTTGATTACGAAAAAATATATACTTTCTACGTCTCGTCCCATCAAAACACCTCGTCATTTCGACGCAAATATTTTCGGCAGTACATATAAGCGTATGCCGGAATGTTGTGTCACACTCTTCCGCTTGCAAGCGATCACGAGATATTCTCTTACGAAGATCCGACGCGTGCACGAATATCAGGAAAGATCAATGGAAATTTGTCGATTTGCTAGTTTGATGATTTAATTTCGAAAATGTGTGATGTTCGCGAAAACGCTCACTTACCATATCCCTCGCCCTGGAGAAACAGTCGAAAGGCTTCGCTTACTTTACCCGGTTGTTCTTCCAGCACCATACCGCAATCCGAAATCTGAAAGGCAGTGGTGCACGATCGATTACATTCTACGACTCGAAATCAAAGCTTAAACTCGCTTAAAGATTTGTTGCGAGTTTCGAAGAGTTTGTACAATAAGATGTGACATGAGATCGAACTCACTTTCATCCAGGAGCTGTTCGTCGGATCTAAACGTCCGTTTAACGTTACGGTGTCGTCGACGTGAGGGCTTAGGGCACCTGTGATGTTCATTACCGGTACTCTAAGCGTCATTCCCTCCTTCTTGCGAGTCGGGTCCAATTCCCTCGCTATGTTCAAATCCGCTCGACGGACGTAACTGTCGATGAATAACGCGAGATTCGTTGGATTTACACGACGTTCGAAGTAGTTCTTGTACACCTGCACCAGATCGTGATTCCGCTCTTCGGTCCCCTGTATAAAAAACATTGCGTTACTCAGTACAATTTTTTTAGTCTCTCGCTAAGATCAGTTCTCTGAAATCAATTATCGACATCTTCGCTCAACATTATCGACAAGTTTCGAACTTAATTAACGTTTAATTCATTAATTTTCTCGCAAAGAAACTGCAAACTGCGCGTTTTTGCAAATCAATATTCGCCATTCTTTTTATATTTTCTTCCTCAAAGGTTAGAGGTCGTCTTTGAAATAGTATTAACACGCAATAAGGCTCGCGTATAGTATACGACGCGGCAAAACCCCGTCGATGTAATCTCTAGTTTCCACGATGTTCTAACGAGTCTTTGGAAGCTCAAGCTTCCTCGTCGATAATTCATCTTGCGCTCGCGCATGAACGCTAACTTGGTTGACATTATTTCGCGCCTCATATAAGAACCAGGTGCTTTATTAGCTTCATAGAGTGTGCCCAGTGAGATAATCCTGTCTGGGACACAATTAATCCACCGTGAAAGGAGAGAAAGTTGTAAAAGAGAAACGAGGAAGATGTTTTTGTTGCTTATTTTTTTTTTTTTTTTTTTTTTTTTTTTTTTTTTTTTTTTTTTTTTTTTTATGTTACTCGAGTGATCGAATACTTCAATATATTTGATAAGCGACGAGTTTTCAATTAAATTGTAATTTGATATCGTCATATGTACATTTATGTGCTGTACTCACCCTGCCGAAGTGATGCCACATCAAATACTCGAGAACACCCTGAGTCATACCCTGAGATCTCAGGTGTCGCACGTTCAACTTTTGATAGCCCCACTCGATCCATCCCGCTTGCGTGGACACGCAGTTTATCAGGCACAGTGCGTTTACTTTCTCCGGGTGGGCGAACGCGAATCTTGCGAGAACGTTGGCTCCAGCACCGACCCCGAAACCGATTACAGACTTTATGCCAAAGTGGCCGAGAACGAAGAGCAGCTGTTCGGCTAGCTCATCCATGGACGGATAGATATAACTGAAATAACGTAAAAAAAAAAAATTGTCTGCAATATTTTTCACTTCGGTATCGCAACGTTATATTGCTCTCGCTATACGTTTTACACATAACGTCAAGGATTAAAATATCGCTTTATGACTAACTGGTGTACACACGATAATGAATAATTAGGAGAGTGAAAATTGATGTTATCGATATGTAAAGTTTGTATAGCCTTTGGTGGATTTGGCACGCGAACAAATCCAATTGACAAAACCGCTGCATGCAAATCTGCATTGCGGTCTAAAATATTCTGTTTAATTTTACAATTAAAACTGGTTTTTTTTTTTTTTTTTTTTTTTTTTTTTTTTTTTTTTTAAGAAAAACGTCTTAAACGCGGGAATTGTCGTGTGCATGACTTAAATTTACTGCATTTTGGCTTCGTATTTAGAATAATAGTTTGAGCGAGAAGAATTACGCAACAATCGATGAGTTAGAATCCGTAGAAATGCGCGAGCAGCGATATTACGCGATAAAATATGGACAGTTTTATATCGCGAGGCAATAAAATTGTCATTTCCATCGAATTGCGCAGAGTTTTCGAATAGTCAGAGAGCGAGAAAACAACCGAAGCTGTCAACAATATCGGGTCGAGATTGATCGAGACGCTAATTAGGTTATTGATTCGCGCTAATTGACTTGACATGTCGTGAAACGACGTTTCGTAGCGTAGGTATAACTAAAAAAAAAAAAGAGATCGAAGTTTAATCAGGTCATACGTATAAGAGCGCATTTGTTGTTGCGTTGAGTTTATCAGCTATTAATTAATTTACTTCTTAATGAGATCTTAATGAGATAAAGAGACGTTTCTGTGTAATAAGCGTGATGATTAAGACCTATTAAACTCTCGTATTATCGATTATCGACCAATGCTAAAATTGTAATTGCAAACTCCCGATGCAGTGCTTCGGGAAAATCGCTCGCTCTTATTCTTTTTTATTCGTTAATTGAAAAAAAAACAAAAAGAAAATAAACTTACTCTTCTGGTAACGTCGGCGCGTTTTCTTCTTGCCCGGGTGCGTTTACGTGGTACACGCAGAAGTTTTCGAGTAGAACGCGCATATCGATGTAATTGAAGAACGCCTGGAAGCTCGAGATGTCTGAAGAAACAATTTTTTTAATTATATTAGACATTTTAAATATTAATAAACAATATCTAATTGTCAATGGTGCAATAAATACAATTGTTTAAGACAGTCGTGATAAGTACTCGAAGATAGACGCGCAAATTTATCTTTCGAATTGTAGATTGCACTTTAATTTTAAATAGTTTTAATCGGACAAAGTGCTCACAGTTAAGGCCTAGATCGTGATAAGTGAGGATAGCTGGTTTCGCTCGATTTCCTTGCACCGCTACCAGTAAACTTCCCTTGTCGGTCTCCACCCTTTCTTCTCGCACGGAGGCGTCATCTCTGGAGAGGTATCTCAGTGCCGGAAATTGCAGCTGAATGTTCTTCAGCTCGATGTCGTCCATGCTATCGGAAGGCATCGTGCTGCGCATGAAAAAAAGTCGTTTAATTATTGGCTCCAATATTCTCGGCGCGAGTGCCTGCCAGATTGCGACAATCTAAAACTCGTTGACGGGAGAGTGAGCCCGCTATCGCGGCTTATATTTTTATTGCAAAAAAAAAAAATTGATAAAATTGAGTAACCGATTGAATTTATCATTTGAAAGTTATATAACAATTAGCTACGTTGAAGTTTAAATCGCGATTCTTCCTTAGAAATTTAATATCGCTTCTTTAAATACTTTCAATTAATTTTATTTTTTAATAACGAAACACCGAACACTTAAATTTTTTTTATTGAGCAACAGTCTTATTGAATTTCGATACAATTGAGCTTCAATTCAATTCTGAATTTACGATGCAAATTCGACACTATGTTCCTAGCGCGTGTTCTGCGTCCTCTCACACATTATCACCAGAGCTATTGTTATCGTTTCACACAATAGATCACAATAGGTAGGATTGTTTATTCACGAGCAGGTCTCGCGTGCGTTCTGACAGAAAAATAATAAACACGTATGAAAAAAGAAGTGTTTTGTTGACCACAAAACATATTGAATCCTTGACCAGTGTTCACGTCTCCAATTTCGTCAATGAAGATAAATTACAGAAGTCAGGAAGGAGAGAAAAACAATTTATTATTTGCGTCGCGCGAGGAAACCGTAATGTTTTGCATGTGTTTCCGTATTCTAATTGATGTAGTAATTATTTTTATCGGAGAACAAAACAATTTCAAAGAAGAAATTTTATTAAAATTAATTTCTTTTCTAATTTACAAATATTAATCCTTTAACAGTCTTCCGACATTTTTATTATGTAAACGTTAAGCAAATTTTTTTTTTATAGTATCGATCTGTACGCCACACCCAGTCAGTTGAACTGAGTCGGTCAACATACTTTTTATAAAAAAATTATATTCTCCGTTTGTCGCAGAAAATATGCGTCACGCGCTTTGACGATGTAAATACTTATTATGGCAATTAACTTGGCCGGAGCGGAGTTAATTACCTCTGATCCGGCAACTCGGAAAATTAGAGGAAGTGTGTTCGCTCGGACGGCACAAGTCACTTAAAAAAATATATATCTTTGATTTCAGAATTTAAACTCCGGTTGCGAAGCTATCTCTTGCCTCAATTTCTCTCTAAATTGACAGTGCAATAGTGCGATGACGCGGCTTTAAAGTCGGAACTTGTAACATTCACGTTTTTGACGATGCAATAAATCGTGCAAATTTTGTACGTTCAAATTAATCTCTTCACGGACGTTGTAATAATTCGCGATTATCGCATATAAAGTTAGCGGATAATAATAATTATTACCGGATGTTTGGTATATTATTTATTTATAACTCGTGATTCTATCGTAATAGAATCGCCAAGTTTACATTCGCGTCATTAATGAATAATAAACGAAATTATTTTTTGATTTCGGAATATTATTTACATACAAATCGTAATATAATAGAAGCCATATTTACATTTGCATCATTAATAAACAAAATTACTTTTTGATTTCCCAACGTGTTAAGTTAATACTTAACTGTGTTATGCCGTAATATTATTTTCTTTAATGAATAATGTCGGCAAAGTGTACATATTACACATATAAACGCAACGATTAACAACGCGGAAAGGCAACACGGAAGGGTTAATGAATTATCTCGACGTAATCTATCAGTACTTCTATATATCAGCTTACAGTTAGCATGACCTGAATACGATCGGAATCAGTACGGGATAAGTAATATCACTCTATTATTCTAAACGTGTAATAACGATAGCTCGCGATCGTCGAGAGTTACATCAACGCGTCCGACTCTATACAGTTGCGAACTCGAGCTTAACGCTCGAAAGACCTAGTTCGAGTCCGCATCCCGGAGGATTCACGACGCCAACCCAATTTCCACCGGAGAACAGGAAAATGTCAGAAACCTCGATTGACCTTCTCTCGCGCGTTCGCACGTAGCAAGGGATGTTTCTCTGAGAGAAATGTCACCGGAGATACTTATCTTCACAAATCTTATAAAGAAGATGCGCGCTCTCTTGTCTGCTCTTTTTACATCATCAAACGAAGATCTTTCGAGTTGGTTACCCCTGAGTTTTTCTCTTATTTGTAATCAGAACGTCGTGAATGTGACGTAACGTATACACACATGTAACACTTTTACACATCGACGTAGGGGATGCGCGCGTTTTTACGCTTTTCTTCGTGGGAGTCGACCCGAGATCTCGGCCACACACATACAAATATCGTTGGTGTTATTAAATTCCTTATCTAATCGCCACCACGGCTTGCACGCCGGTATTTTCGTATAGTGGCACTTGAATTAATGCTGCGGCCACTTATCTCTCAAGTCGTTACTACGCCGAGTCGATTTATTATTAGCTCCATGCGCCTGCGGACTTAGACAGAATTTATTTTCAGTGCAAACCACGCCGTGTTCAAGTCCGCTAATAAAATAACAATTTTCAAGAAATGTTAATATTGTTGTAATTAAGAAAATTTAATCGCGTACTTAGAAAATATATATATTTTGTGTAATTGTATATGTTGTTTAGGTCATGTAAACGAAAGAAGTGATGTTATTTTTTATATAAATTTTTTTATCTTGCTGTTAATAATAAACACTAAGAGCGGAGTGATGTTACAGGAACGCGAAGGCAGCTTAGTTGTTTCCGCGACTAGCTTTATAAAGCGAAATCGTTTCCGCGGATTTACGACGCGTTTCGCAGACGACGGCGTCACGATGACGGGCGTCGGGCGATCGATATTGTCGTGAAAGGAAATGTGTTGTCACAAATGCACCGCGAAATCAATCGTAAAACACTTTGGGGCTCTTGATTGACAGAGACCTCGAGATGAATTGATTACCAATCACATGACGAACAATGTTGTAGTGCTCTCCATTAAGTCAAAATATTATTTCGAAATATTTGAGCGTCCAATTTTCGTGCATCGGAAAACAAGACGTGTATCTAATGCGTGCATGTTTTCGAGATATACTTCTGGTTTTGAAACAATCGAAGTGTGAGAGATATGAAAGAAGACCGACCGGTGTGAAAGAGTGTCAATAAGATCGTATCGAGTTGATCAATACCGAACTTTGTGCTGACGCAACATTGTCACAATATTTTGACAATCAAGCATGTGTATTGTTCATCAACTCGGGTGTTATCAATACAAACATTGTCGATAAAATCTTTGTTATTTCGATATTGTCTAAAGAAAAACAGCTTTCGAAATGACTGCGTTTTTTTCTTTCATTTTTTTTCTTTGTCGGAAGTATTTTGAAAAAAGTTGAATATTTTAATCGCATAGTCAATCGCGATATTTTTATAACTTTTTTACATTTCTTCTCTCTTACATAAGTGTTAAAAAAAAAAATATATATATATGTATATAATACAAAAGAGCAATATTTAATCACATTAAGTGAGGTCGCGTTATAAAACTTTACGTCTTCGTACACGTATTAACTTTATTTGATGTCGGATCGATTTCACATCCAAGCGTCTTGCACTAAATATAAACCGCCACGTATTCGACTAGTTTCCATTAACGTTTGGAAGCAACGACTTTTAGAAAGGTATTGTTCCCGATGGCTCCTTCATTACTTTGAGTACTCCAACAAGATACTGCGTGTAGTAGATAACGCTGTCTCGAATCGGAAATGGAGTTGCGCGAAGTGCAACAATGGACACGGAAGTTGCGAGTGTGAGAGCACAATGGAAAATCTAGCAAAGTGTGCATTTTTCTCGGCAAATAAAGAAAAGTACGAGGTACTTCTCTGTAGGCGTGCGTTCGTATAGTGTCGCGATTGTGTTGGACGCGTTTGTACACTGTCATGTACAATTTTCATATTCTTCTTCTTTTGAAATCACCGTGCTCTCGTTTCTAGAAGAAACATGCTAATGTAAGAACAAAGACACGTGTCACTCGAAGAGTCAGAAAACTTTGTTGCAAACAAAGTCGTTTTATAACGCGTCGATCGTTTGGTCAATTATCTCGTGACGGAATACACCGAACAAATAAAGAATGTGTGTGTAAAAATGTGAACCGAGTTCACCACAAATGGCAAAAATTGCGCCGAAATTCGGACGAATCAGCGAGTTGTGATTTCATTTCGTCATTTAAAGACGGAGCTTAAAACTTTACGAGAAATGAAGAGCGAATAACGTCGTCGTCAATACTTCGAGATGGACATTTCAGCACTTCAAATAACGAACTTTTTATCTAAGAGGAAGATAATACCGCAATATTTATCTAATCATCTCCCGAAGCGACACGTCGATTATCTCTGAAACGGAACATTTTACTTGCAAAGGAAACTGAGATACGAAAGTTAAGAAGATGCCTCTGCAGTGAGAAGTTATTCCATAAAAAAAATATCTGTTTGAAACGGAAAATTATTATGATTATTATTCTCTCTAAAAACTTATCGTTACTAAAGAATAGACGTGAAATTATATTATTATTTATAAATTTAATTAAGATTCTAAACGTTGCGTTTTGTAAAAGATAAAAAAACTTTAAAATAATATTTTTGTCGAGAGTGATTTTTTTTGTAAGTCTGCAAAATGTTTAAGATCACACAAGGCTAATCTACATTTTGAACTTCAACATTTGTATTTTACTGTTATTTCGTATTAATTACGATGATTCTATCGTAAAAGTCAGTTTAATTAAGAATGTGAATTTTTTAATTAAAAAGTTACTCTTTAATTAACGTGAAAGGTGCAAATTTGAAATAATTACAGTTGTATTTCCGTCGGCATGATTAGCACACAAGTAAATGACTATTTTTCGTTCGACATTTTGTCGATAAGGCACTTCTGTATGATAACTGGCACAACGGTACTATTAGTGATGCAGCACTGTACAGTATCGCAGCGCTACTTGAATTTCCAAGCACGGCTAATTTGCGTGCGCGAGAGGTTTCCCGTATCTCCGGCACGTCACTCAGTCGCTTCCGGTCAGAGTCAAGT